TGGGTGTTTGTGATGATTTAATAAATTATGTGTGTTAGTTCGAATGGGTAATTATAGGTATTTATAAGTTCAAATGAGTTATGGACCGTGAAATAGAGTTTTTCTATACCAGGAACTAACATCTAAATGTAAAATTATGAACGTTCGAAGTTTCTCTTATTTACAACTACACTAATCTTTGGTAAAATGGTCATAATGCTTTACTTCAAACATTAAATGATTCAAAATCGGTGGCATTTGAAATAAAACTCATTGAACTACAATTTCATATGTCATGGGTCACCTTATTCATGACGTACTAAAAGATATGATAATATACATTGTTTGCCTAGGCACACATTGATTGCCTGTTGTTTTTTGACCAAAATATTTTGTGGGTGTTTGTGATGATTTAATAAATTATGTGTGTTAGTTCGAATGGGTATTTATAGGTATTTATAAGTTCAAATGAGGTATGGACAGTGAAATAGAGCTTTTCTATACCCGAAACTAACATCCAAAGCCAAAATTGTGAACGTTTGAAGTTTCTCTTATTTACAACTACACTAGTCTCTGGTAAAGTGGTCGTAATACTTTACTTCAAACATTAAATGATACAAAATCAGTGGCATTTGAAAGTGTTATACACATTAATTAGTAATCATAACTATAGTTTGTTGTAATTACCACTCTCGAACCATTAATTACGTGAGTTGACTTTGAGTTTCTATAATTAGCCAAGTTTGTATAATTTGCCATATTTGTATAATTCGCAACTAACAATTTTTCGTTTGATTTGTATTGGTATACGATTATTTTTATTTGTATATGACGATAATTTCCTTTGGTTTTTCAGTATTATCACCATATACGCTCAATCTTTTTTTGTACAACTTTTTAAAGTTTGTATAAACATGTAGTTTTTGGATTTTGTATAATATAATTTATATAATGTAATTTAGTATAACTGTTTAATGTTCATATGTTTATGTTTGTATCAATTTGTTATTTCGAGTTTTATCATATTTGTATAATGCCAGACTTTGTATTACTCAATTATACAAAAAATCGGCGAATTATACAACGTACCCGATAATTATACAACGAGATGTGAATTATACAAATTATTTCCCTCTCTTGTTCGCCTCTCTCTCCCAATCTCGCTCGCCAGATATACAAATATATATACCAGTTACATATATACAATTATCTAACCGATGTATGTATATAATTCACCTCTCTCCCACTCTCTACCCTCTCTCACGCGCCTCTCTCCTCCCTCTCCCAATCTCGCTCGTCACTCTCTTCCCTATAACATGTACCTACAAATCATAATTAGCAAACTACAACTATTAAGCGTAATTAAACTATTTTTGAGTAGCAATATGCGAAAGTTCCTCATAACTCTTTTGGTGAGAGGTAACAAGGATTTCGTGAGATTAGTTGAGATGTGAATATAGTCAATTAATAACTGTTGATGGTTCCGGTGGAAGTGACAATTATTATGTGAAATAGTTAAGGTGTGCGAAAATTGACCCGAACAACACACTAATAATTAAAAAAAAAACAATTGGATCAAAGTCTTCGAGGGTATTCTGGTCATTTACTAATTTATAAGTACATTAATCTCAAGCTAATTAGTGAAAAGAAGATCAATTTGAAGCTAAAGGGTTTTTAGGGTTTACAGAGTGCTTCCAATTGGGGGAAGAAGAAGAGGAAAGCTAAAAAGGGAAAATTTCAGTTGAAGGTAGCCATGAAAGGAGGAGGAAGGAAGAATTTGAAAAGGGCTATTGAGGAAGACAATTTTACCCTTGAACAAGGTCAAAGCATTATGCAAGTTGTCGACCTTCGAGGTTCCAATCTTATTCAAGTATGAAAAAAATATTCATTGTAATTTCTTCTTCTTTCTTTGATTATCTATTGTATAATTCACTTTTTTGATCTGGGTATGAGTTTTCCGGTCTCAAGATTCAATTTTTCCTATTGTAAATTCATGTTCTTTCTTTAATGTCTGTGTTACAGTGCTTTGTTTTGATTTGGGTTTGAGATTTTTGGTCTAGAATTTCAATAGATTCTACTGTAAGTTCGAGTCAATTCTCTGGTATCTGTTTAAGAATTCATTTTTTTAATCTGGGTTTGAGCTTTCTGGGCTTGCTTTACATACTTGATTTTGGATATGCTTACTCGAGCTGAGGTGAGGTAGTGGTAAAGTCTGCTTAAGCTCTACGAGGAAGACCCCACTTGTGGGATTCATGGGGTATATTGTTGTTACTTGAAATGAGGGTCTATTGGAAATAGTCTGTCCACCTTTACAAGGTAGGGGTGTGGCTTTGGACACACCACCCTCCGTAGACCGTACTTGTGGGATTGCACTGGGTATTTGTTTTGTTGTTGTTGAGCTTTTTGGTCTCAAGATTCAATTTTTCCGCAGAAAAATTCATGTTCTTTCTTTAATATGTGTGTTACAGTGCACTGTTTTGGTTTGGGTTTGAAATTTCTGGTTTAGAATTTCAATATATCCTACTGTAAGTTCATGTTCATTCTTTGGTATCTGTTTAAGAACTCACTTTTTAAATCTGGGTGTGAGCTTTCCGGTCTTAATATTCAATATTTCCTATTGTAAAGTCATGTTCTTTCTTTAGTATCTGCTTTACAATGCATTCTTTTGATTTGGGTTTGAGCCAGTTTGTCTCAAATTTCAGTCTTTTCTATTGTGAGTTCACGTTCATTCTTTCATGTTTAAGATTTCATTTTTTATCTATGAACTTCATGTTCTCAAAATTCCATTTTTTCTTATTAAAGGTAATGGATGCTAAAGGTGAAAATTCATTAGCAATATTTCCAGCTAAATTCCAGAAGAGCATGTGGATAAAACGAGGTTTGATCATATAATCATCTAGAATTTGGGAATTTATTCATCTAGTTGTTGATTTAGTGATGCTCATTTTGTCATTTGATTATGTGAGAAAGATGTAAAGTGGTTTTCTTTTAGTTCACTATTTTTTCTTTTTTTTCAACTAAATGAATAGGCAACTTTGTTGTGGTTGATGAGAGCGGGCGAGAGGAAGCTATTGAATCAGGTAGAAAAGTGGGATGTGTTGTTACGAAGGTACTCTATTTTGAACAAGTTCGTGTGCTTCAGAAGTCTGCAGAATGGTGAGAACCTAATAGTCAAAGATATGTTACTATCACCCTTCATTTTTGGTTTAATATTTATCTTTAGATCAGAATGAAATGGTCTTACTCCTCCAAAAATGACTTCAAAGAGCTGCTCTGAGGGACATATGTTTACTCTCACCTTCTGATCACGTATTGAAATTTTAAGATTGATCATTGATTTGTTCTTGGGGTCTATCGGAAACAACCTCTCTACCCCACAAAGGTAGGGATAAGGTCTGCATACACCAACCTCCCCAAACGTCACTTGTGGGATTACACTGTTTATGTTGTTGTTGATCATTGATGTTCTGACAGGGGAAAAACTCAGATTTTGCTGATTTGAAGCAATGTCATGTTTCTTCCTTGGATTTTGTATTTCCACTGAAATATTGGCTGTAGGAGTCAATTAATTTTGAATGTGTATGTTCACATCCATCATTTCGGGAGATTTTAAACTTCTTTTTCACCAAGTTATTCAGTTCTTTATGTTATAGTAGTTGTCATTTGGATTACAACATGAAGGCTTTAGCGGCACCTAGCCCTAGATGTATATTATTGCCCCATAAAAGTTTTTGGCACATTGCTTTTCCCCCTCCGCACAGGAAAAGAGTTGAGATACGAGTACAACCATACTTGACAGTCCCTAGTTTTGATATATACAAGAGTCTGTCTTTGGAGACAATATGTTCTTTTGAAAGGTCATATTACTGCTTACTCTGTTCTCCCCTCCGCAACACCCCAAACAGAAAAAAAAGGAAAAGCATGAAGTAAGGGGACTTACCATTTTCAAATAGCTTAATTCTCCGTAAACCTTCTTACGCAGGCCAGAGATTTTCAAATCCATAGCAGTAGAGAGCTCAAAGCAAGATCTAGTGTCACAAATCAAAGAAGATGAAGACTCAAGTGATGATGATGGACTTCCTCCATTAGAAGCTAATACAAACAGAGTAAATCCTTTTCAGATGGAGACGGAATCTGATTCAGATACTGATTCTTGATCATGGCATTGTAACTGATACCTTCTTTTTGTGGATAAATCGACTAAGAGTAAAAACTGTTGTGTCCGAAGGCTAATTAAATTTTGGAATCTGTAAGAAGATTAGTGACTTTGATATAGTTAATATGCTTAGCAATTTGTAAATTCCTTTCAAGTTTTGCAGTATTTGTTTTATAATATGCTATGTATGATCTTTTGTTAAGTTCATCTTGAAAATAACGTACTGCTTCTCATACATATCTCGATTATGAAGGTTGCGCGTTTTTCAGTTTGAAATTAACTCGTGATGTGATGTGCATTAGCACATAGGAAAGACCAATTAATAGTCAAGTATTGTATCCACTTGCTCATGAAGGAGAAAGGTGAAAACATTTGTGGTTATTGTTGAATGATTCCTCAATAGAGTCTTGCAAATGCAAGATGTGCAATTCTGCATGCATTGGCTTGAGTTTGATATGTCATCTTATAGAATAAAAACTTCATCCTTAGAACACTAATGCGTCCATACATGAAATCAACAATATATCCAATGTAATCTTACAAATAAGGCGTATGTACATGAAATCATACACAAGTATGGTCCATTTCAAAGCTTGTACTGCAATTACAATGATACTCCATAGTACACATAAGAACAAAGGTTTTACTGTACACATTGATAACATTTGAAAAATGACAGATTTAAAAATGGTTCAGCACTATCCAATAAGCAATATGCATCACCTTCCATCTTTAGCTTCTCCACTCTTTCTTCTGTCCAACTTTGGCTTGCCTATCTTGGGTAGATAAAACAATCTTAGCATTTTGCCTTCACAGCCGTTACGATGTTCTCCTTCAGATATTTGAATTGATAAATTCATAATAACAACACAGAACGAGGGAGGACAAGGAAGCTCCCCAAATGAAACTGGAATACAACATTCCAGCAACAATTGCAGTTGTGAGGTCTCGTCGAAGTTACATGAAGAAATTTCAGTTCTGTTGGCATTACTTGATCATGAAAAATAGAGATTATATTTTAAGGTTTCCTCTTAGTGATGGAACTAATAAAAGCTTTCTACCAGCACATTTTACCATCTGCTCATCCTCTGAGTGGGTAGAAGCAGACCTAGTATACATCATTGTAGTGGATACCAGTACATCATCTCCAAATCCGCATGCTCCGAAAAACGGCCTAGGGAAGTATAGGGTAAAACAATTACAAGCATAGAAGTTTCTCCTTCTAAATAACAGCAGGGAAGTTTTCTTGATCACACATGAACCTATAGGACAATTTATCAGATAAAAAGCTCCAACATGGAAGAATGTCTATTAAGGAATTTTAATCAATTCACTCTTGAGCTAAATAGTTTTAGTTTAAAGTTTCAAGGATCAGTTTTGCAAGGATTTCTGCATTGTATGCCAAAATTGTTAGCTTATACATATTCATGCAACAAAGACATAAAGCGTGCCAAAAAGAAACTAATGATTAGATCAACACAAATATCTCTTAGTCCATTATAGTGGTTTCTTGGATGAGACAAATGCGAAGCATCTTATTCAGCATAATAAATTGAAGGGAAGAAACAAATAAAAGTAGCGAACAAGTAATGAACTCACTTCTGTTGATCAGAACAGAGGGCTGCTATGTCATATATGTCTCTGTTCACAAGAACCCTGCCAGAAAATTGAGCTTCATGAACTTGAGCAAGAAGGTCAAAAGGAGAACTCGTGAAAGCATTATACATCTACAGAGTCTAGCTTGTAAATAGCAAAAGAAGCTTCAATAACTATGGTTAGAATGAAGATAGAAAGAGATTAGTTTTTCCTTTTTCGAATGGGGAGTGAGAGAGGGGGTTAATGTTCCAATATGAAATTTCAAACCATTATATGTGAAGAGCTTATAGGTTGTATCAGCCTCTGCCTATATGTGCCTATAGGGCCTGTAGGCTATAAGAATATAATGAAAACAAGACAGCATAGCAACCTTAGTATCCTTTGAACTATCTTCCTGCCAATGCCTCTTCTTCGTAGTGAAGGGATGACCTGCAAATTACTGAAGCACAATCACATGAATACTCCATAGATTATAAATATCCCATGGTATCAGAACTAAAGTTACATGCTGGCACTGTATTCCAGATTTTCCTCACTGTGTTATGCATTCCCTCAACACTCCACCTGGCCAGAAGATCCTTTACTGAAAAGAGCAGTAACCTATTTTTTCTTCTTCTATTGAAGTTCATTGGTAACTTTAGCATGTATAATACTGCACAGAAGTTTGACAGATGATCTTGAGCCTAAACTTGGCCTTGAATTTAAGAGTAATGCAGATGCCATTAACTTTTAAAATGAATACGCACGAAGGATTTGGTTTTAGTATTGGTAAAAAGAAGCTGCATCGTGCATGTATGTCACACACCCTCCAAACTTTACCTTTTCCCTTTTTCAACCTTACCATTAGTAGAGATTTAAACATAATACAGCACAAACCAAAAATAACTCTCAGTACATCAGCAATCTAATTGCATTGATAAAGAGCAAACTTTAATGGAGGCTCAGCCACACGTCCTTCAAACGTTCCTAAAAATGCTCTAATTTTCAGTACTAGATATATAATATCAACATCCAAATTAATTGGAATCCCCTATTCAATCCTCATCACCAGTCAGCTAATACTGATAGTTGTCCTCCTATGAACCAGTTCAATCAAACTATAGCAACCCTCCTCCCTTTAAACCCCGGAGGATTTGGTTTTCAATAATATTCAAGTGTTGCTTAATATAACAATGGAAAAAGGCCTAATATACCCCTCAACTTTGTAAACTTTGTGATTTAGAGCTAATATATCCTTCGTTACAAGAGTGACTCACATATACCTCTATCGTTACCTAAATGGCCCAGATATATCAGCTACAATCATATTCCACATAAAGATATTCTTTTTACCAACTACAAGCAAATAATTCAACCAATTCACATTCACATAAAAAGATTAAAAAAAGAACAATTGTATATCAACTTTTAATTTTACCATAACATCATAAATTGCAGCAGTCAACCCGGAATCAGAAACAGCACGTCCAAATCCAACCAATTCTCCATTTCCCGGCGTCACAGGCACCACTTTTCCGATCCAATCTCCACCAATACCCGTTAGACCCGACCCGGATACATTCTCCGGAGCCAAATCGGGTACAAATTCGGGTCTTGTAAACACCGAAGCAACAACGTAACTATGAAGTAAAGCTTTTCGGAGTTTGTCGATATCCACCGGCTCAACTCTACCTTCTGAGTTCAGTTTCGGAAAACGGTGGCAAGAATGGTTGCATACAGAATAGAGGTCTCTAAGGTGAATTGAATTTACGTCGTTAGGGTTTGTTGAGATGAATAGTGGCGGCGGCGTTGGCCTGATTTGAGAGACTGTTGGCTGAGTGAAGCGGCGGAATTTGGAGGGAAGATAACCGCCGTGCACGGCGGCGGCAACTGCCATGTTTTTTTGGGTTTTTTGGTCTTCCTTTTTTACCCTTTATCTATTTTGGCTTTTGGATAATTTCAACTAACTCCCTTGAGACTTCGGTAACTATATTTTACTCCCTTGTAGTTTTTAACATTATCCAAAATTTCCTCAATCTTTTTTTTAAGCACATCAACACCATAAATATTTCAATTTTGAGAGTGTACGTGTAGATACTTTAATTTGATTTTAACATACAACCAAATGCTTCAACTCATTTTCATTGTCTCATAGACACTCGATGCTTACATGACACATAAATTTTTAAAAGTATTAACAATTTCAATCAATTGATAATTATATTAGTAAAAATTATTGACCGAGCTCCAATGTAAGCGTATTTATGATGCACAATTGAACACTTAAAAGAGTAAACCTCTTGAAACTAAGCCTCACACATGAGTTTTAGAACATTTTGCAAATGCCCCGTCTAGAGATGAGCCTCAAATGAATCATGAAAATCACTTTTAGAACATTGATTTGACATAATTAAAAAGTCATAATCTTAGCTAAAGTATCACAATTTGTGAGTTATTATAATGCTTATGTGCCTTAGTTATTATTATTAAAGTTTGATTTTTCTATTTTCTATCGAAGAGTGTTGTAACTTGTCTCAATATAAGGTACTTTTTATACTTCAATTCATGTGATATTATTTGATTATATTTAAATTTTAACGATTCTTTTCTTTCTAAAATTCCAAGCGGAGCCTAGAAGAAGATGACTTGTACAGATAGAATAGCCAAACCAATGCAAACCAAAGACAGACGACCACGATTCCAACCTTACCAGCACCAGAGGTGTACTAATCAATGAACCCACGAAATCAACTTTCTTTTTTGACAAAATAAACCAAGGTTAAGCGGTAATATAAAATAAATAATAGATATTTTTTATAATTATAAATTATATATTATCGAATAAAAAGAGAATTTTAAAATTTAAGTTATAATTATATCATTTTTCTGAGGGGGGGTGGGGTAGGGTGGGGGCTAACACATGAAAACGATAAGGCCGTTCTCTTTCCTTAAACCCTTCCTTCATAACTACTACACTGAGAAGTGAGAATACCGACTCCCAAACAAATACAAGCTATTTACCGATCTTATTGGTGAGTTTCTCTACAACTTTCGTTTTTCTAAATTTTCATTTTGTAATCCTTAAATATAGTAAGTACTATTTGTGATTTAGGGTGAGTTTGCTTAAACGAGTGCTGTAATTTTGCTTTATTCTTCATTTTCTTGCAGCTTTACTTGTTTTAATGGTATTCCACATGACCAACATTTTAGGTTTATCTAGAACTAATTCTCGTTATTGGTGCACCCACGGATTAATGAAGTGGGTTAAGAACTATGAGGTGGCAGGTTCAAATTTCAGCGGAGAGGAACATATCATGTGATTTTGTCCTATATGTCCTAAAATTGGTGGATAGAGGTGGAATGAGGTGGTAGGTATCCCTAGGTACACAGAGTTATCTGATATCTATTGTTGGTAGGAGGTCTCCCAAGTAGACATAGTTATTTGATATCTATTGCTAGTGGGAGACGGTAGGTATCCCAAGTAGATAGAGTTATCTGATATCTGTTGTTGGTGTGTTGCTGGTGGGAGACTAGGTATCTCCTAGCTAGATAGAATTATCTGACATCTCTTGTTGGTGGGAGA